GTTATTATGAGAGCGTGCATACTTGTCGACTCGATATCGACTCGACTAAAAAATAAAACAACAATTGGATGACTTTTTGACAAAAATGTGGTAACTGCACGATCGACTATCATCGACCGTGTTACCACACCCAGGAGTACGAAGCCGCGCATATTATCGACACAAAATGGTATCATACTTTCTAATACATAGGCCAATTAACACGGAAAGCTCGTTAAAACTGAATACACTCATTCTGTAATAATATAGTTCTCGATTAAATTGTTTAGTTGGTAAGAAATCGTTGGTGCTGCTCGACATCGAGTAAAGTCGATAGTATCCCAGGTAGCAGAGTGACGTCAAATGACGTCTAATTGAGGTCTCTAGACGTCATCCTGCTACCTGGGATGCGCCTATAGCCTTATTATAAAACGAAATTTTGTGTCACATTACATGACAAAAGAGACAGAAAACTTAGTAAAAGAATAGGTGAATAAATAAGTGTAGCATGTGTAACGATTAATAATTTTGTATGTCATAAGTAAAAAGCGTATCTAATCACGTATCTAATTTCAGATACACGCGATAATGAGCATTAGTAAATATTCGTCGTGATATAGATTTAACAATATAATCGAATAATGCGAGGAAAACGCTTATCGGCAACGCTGGCGGGAAGCGCATGCGATTACAGACATAATTTTCGTACTCACGGCGGAAGAAGAACCGCGTGGCAAGCACGTCGAAAACACGTGCCCCCCTCGGGATCCTAGCCAGCGGAACGAACTAACGGGCGACCGGCAGCGAAACAACGGGAAAAGACGAGCCGGTCTCGGTCTTGCCGGAACCGAGCGCTCCCCGACTGGGCGATCGCCGATTTTTCCTCAATCTATTTCAAGGCTGTCAATTTATCTTTAGCGATTGTCACGCAGCAACGCGCCAATAGGCCTGTTTCGATTTAGCTGAACTTCTTGCACGGTTTATCTTTTCTTTTCTTCTTTTCACGTTGGCGGGAAAAAGAGAAAAGATGAACCGTGCAAAGAAGTCCAGCTAAAAAAGAACAGGTCTAATTTTCAGACACGCCGCGATGCAATTTATTATAAAATAAAATTTTGTGTCGCATTAAATGATAAAGGAGACAGAAAACTTAAAAAAAAAAAAAATAGGTGAATAAATAGGTGCATATATTAATGATTTTGTGGGTAACTTTAAGGATGCGTTAAGCTCGTAAGAAAAAGGGAGATGAAGAAAATACTCGATTAAAAGCTGCCTCATTGATTAAAACGTTACAGCAGAATTAATCTCTCTTTCGCGGTTCTTCTCGATAACGCAAATTATACGATATCGCGTTATCATACGACCGATGATCACGGAAATAGTCCCGTCAGCGCGCGCATTCGTCATCGAGAGTAATTCGTAATGCGTACGAGATGAGTCAGCCGGTCCGACGGCGATTATGATAGCGGTATATGCTAAGCGAGAAGAAAGTGATCCGCGTGTTACCCGCGATCAGGCTAAAAATACATTCGTCTAAGCCTAAACCTATCGAAGTAGGACACCCGATATGGATATCTCTCATTTATATTTTATAACATGTCACGCCCAACGTATATACATTTGTATTCAGTTGTATTGTGTAACTCACAATTATTAAAATAATTAATATATCTATGTATGATATGATATACATGGTACATATCGCAAAATAATCATGATTCGTAACATGCTGTATTCTTAATCTACTCTCAATTGAAATTCAAAATTGTAAAAGCTGCGAGACAACGTTCATTTCCATAAATTGTTATTTCAATAGATTAACGGCGTAAGAAAAAGATCGTCTTGAAATAAATCAGGCACCGGTGCTGCAAAGCTCTAATATCATTCATTTGTGATGCACCCCGAGTCACGAGGCGCAAATTAGTCATTAAAGAACTCATTGTTGCAACGCCGCGCGCATTGCGGTGTTGTGGCTCTTTAAACATTTATAAAATCATACTACGGTTCTAAATAACGCGTTCCGACCCGCGTGATCTGGGCGATAAGAATACGAATGTTTTTCCGCGTGTACTTCGCTCATCGCTGTTATGTTTTTAATTTAATTATAATACAATTAAAAATGTTATATTATCTTTTTAATTATAATATGTTATATATTATATAGTTTATGTTATAATACATGATATTATTATGTTACAAGTATTATATATCATATTTATTATATTGCAAATAATTACGACTGATAAAAATTATAATTATTTATATATTTGAGTGAGAAGAGAACCTAGTATATTGTAGGTAACTCGATTACTCCCACTCATCTGCTGTTCGTCCATGCTGTTTGTCAACGAGAGCGTCATCCAAGTTTTCGATTTGTTTTTAGAGCCAGCCAGCGAGCCAGTTCGTACCGTTCGCGCGCGGTATAACCTCGGTGTGAATTTACGACGTCACGATCGAGTTAACCATGCGTACATGTGTGAGCGATGCTGGACATTACGGTAAACGTACTAGTAGTATCGCACTCTACAACACAAACATAACGAGATGCAACTCACTCCTCCTCGGCTGCTTCCAGCTGCTTCTCCTCGTCGCAAGGTCGTGGATAGCGTTGTCTCTGGGAGATACGAGAGAGTGACACTCGTATCCGGTGGGCGAAGGCGAAGGGAAGCTCCCTGGCTCCTGCTCCTCTGCTCCTGCGGCGGCTCCGGCTCCGGGCCGTCTTCCTCGCTCCCCTCCCATACCCCGCGAAATTCACGAGTCCGTTTCTCTTCTGCACTTTTTACGCTAAAATTAGAATTTCCGAATATTATTATCGTAGCGTTTCGCGAAGAGGAGGCAGTGGCACACCGCGAGCGTAGAAATCGCGGCTAAAACAAATCTCATCGCTATCTGTCTATCTATTTAATCGCCGATTCTCGCATTTTGAAAAGAAAAGAAGAAAAGGCCGCGAGTGCAAAAAGCATAAGGTTGAACAGATATGTCTCGATCCGGTCGCCATGGCGGCACGCGATTGGCCCGAATTCACCGAAACGGCCAATCAACTCGCGATCCGTTGAGAACGCGTCTTGAAGTCGTTCGGCCTTCCCGGCGCGGCGTTCCACGTTCTATATGGAGTGAACCGCGCGTAACTTCATTCCTTCGCCGTTATTGCGTTATTGAGATACCTTTTTTTTTTTTTGCTTATTTGAAACGCGCTCTGGAGGTAATTACGGTTCACCTGCCAATAATTATTTTTAACTCGTCACACGCACGTCAGTGCATTTGAATGACACTACAGCAAAAAAAGGAATTACTGCTATTTTTCCAATGTTAGCGACACGGCCGCGGATGTGATTGCTATAAGGCCCAGTTTCACAAGTGTCGGTTGGACATCACAAGGGGGACGAAAGAGACGAAGAGTGACTTAACTGGGCCTAAGGCCCAATTTCACAAGTGTCGGTTAACTTTTAATCTTAGATTAACTCACTCTTCGTCTTCTTCTAACGTCCCCCTTAGAAAAAGACGAAGAGTGAGTTAATCTAAGATTAAAAGTTAACCGACACTTGTGAAACTGGGCCTAAATGTATACATTTCTACCGATGCAGATTAACTTTGATCTCGGTTTAACGTATTACTTTTTATCTTCTTCTAGTTTTAAGGATTAGAAAAAATAAGTTAACTGAAATTAAGTTGATCTAGCATTGAAATTGACATTAGACTTCAATAAAGTCGTGCCGAACGTTGTTGGTTTCAATTTAATCCACGAAACGGAGACCCTCGATATATTTGTTCTCGTTTAGCAAGTGAACATTGCACTTTCAAAGTCTAATCTAAAAAGTGTACTATATAACGAAAACTTAGGAAAACAACCATACTTTAATTCAGAAGGTTGTAAGTAAAAAAATCAAAAAGTTTTAGAGTCAACACCCCACATCTATATGCAATTAAAAAAAGAAAACCTAAACTGAGCGTTCGCCTCACACGAGGACAATGGAGCGGGTTGAAGTGTCCGCTCCGGAGTTTTACTCCGCGCAATAGAACGACGCAATAGAACAACTCCTCTTGGCCACTTGGCACTCAACGGCGGCAAATGTACATACGCGCGGATTTGCCGTATATATGCACTCGAGATCACGAGGCGCGGCCTGTGGACATTCTAGAGTACACGCACAGTCGATGATCTGCGCGACGACGTGACGTTTCGTTCGAAGAAAAGCCCGACGGCGACGATAAGATGGCGGCGTCGCGCACGTCAGATCGCGACTGAGCGCGGGTGGAGGGAGGTGGCTAGAGTGGAGCGGGGGGGGGGGGGAGGGGATCGGAGGCAGGCAGGAAGAGGAGGTAGACGGCACGGCAGGCGGGCGGGCGAGCGGGCGAGCGGACGACGACGAGCGAGCAGGCACTGCACTGCACACTGCACAGATAGTCACAGACGGGAGTCTGTGTCGTCGTTAATACGTGCCTGCGTATAGAGCGTACGGCCGAGGCCTGGTGTCGTCATGCCCTGGCGTAGCCGCGTAGTCGCCGTAATAACGAGGCAGCCTAGCTACGAGGCGGCGCAGGTCGATTCTCGTCACGCGTGATTCCCCGTTTCCGCCAGCCCCCCAGGAACCCGTCGCCGCCGTTTCGTCGATGCCTTTGTTCGCGGCCGGGCGGAGGAGGACGGGCGCGGATTGTCGTCGCGACGACGAGCCGAGGACGAGGAGTACGAGGACGAGGGCGAGGAGGAGCACCAGCGGCGGCATCAGCCTCGTGCCCTTAGCCTAGCTAACGGCCAGTGGAAGTGAAGTGTACCCGCGGAGAGAAGGTGCGGATAATCTCGCCTCCGTTTATCTCTATCCCTTTCTCTCTCGCGCTCGCTCTCTCTCGCCGTTTCTGTGTACTCCAGTCTGTCTATCTTTCTTTCTCTCACTCTCGCGCACTCTTTCTCTCTCGGGTGAAACGGCGCTCCACACCCCGGCGCGGTCCTGGACACGTCTAGGAGGTGGTGGCGACGTCGTAGAAGGAGGCGACGCAGAGGAGCCGACGGCGGCGGCGGCGGCGGAGTCGACGACGACGACGACGGCGAGATGCGCGAGTTCAAGGTGGTGGTCCTCGGCTCGGGCGGGGTGGGCAAGAGCGCGCTCACCGTCCAATTCGTATCCGGTTGCTTCATGGAGAAGTACGACCCGACGATCGAGGATTTCTACCGCAAAGAGATCGAGGTGGACAACTCGCCATGCGTCCTCGAGATCCTCGACACCGCCGGCACCGAGCAGTTCGCGTCGATGCGCGACCTCTACATCAAGAACGGCCAGGGCTTCGTCGTGGTTTACAGCCTGACGAATCACCAAACCTTTCAGGACATCAAGGCGATGAAGGAGCTCATCACTCGCGTCAAGGGTACGGAACGCGTGCCGGTGCTACTCGTGGCGAACAAGCTCGATCTGGAGCACCAGCGAGAGGTCGGCACCGAGGAGGGCCACCAGCTCGCGCAGCTCTGGGGCTGCCCGTTCGTCGAGGCGAGTGCCAAGAATCGCACCAACGTCAACGAGATGTTCGCCGAGATCGTGCGCGAGATGAACTTCAGTCCCGAGAAGGAGAAGAAGACCTACTGCTGTTGCAGCGTCCTCTAATACTTAATCAAAATCCACGTTCGCCCCCCGGATTATTTACCCGCGGACCGTACTGAGGTGATGGAGATATACAGTGTGTACAGTGCTTCGGGGAGAGGGCACGTCGACGTTAATTCGTCGGCGTGTCTCTTATGCGCCGTTCTGCTAAGGATTCTCTTCGCAGCTCTCGCTCGGCCTGCTGAGGAACGTGCTGATGGAGGATATAGTGTACAGTGGCTTTCGGGCAGACCCCTCGTCAGCGTGTTTCGTCGTCCCGAAGAATCTTTCCTCGAGGAGCCATCCTTTGGAAGATCCTTCGACCTTGAGACGCACCATGCGTTTACCAAGGCTAACTTATATTGGACGCTGTACGAATTTTCCAAAATGGGAACTGTGGTTCTCTTCTCTTTTCTAATTCTCGGAAGACCGTCCGGCGAGCGGCGGCCGTTAAACACAGATATTTTATTATACGCGAATAGTATTATGTATGTAATATTATTGTAATATATATACATATATATATATATGTATATATATAATATAGATAGGATTTAAGAGAGAGAAAGAGCGAGCGAAAGGTAGCTTTTCCTCGGTAAAAGGACCAATACTCCGCTCGCGAGAAAGGAGAAGGTGTCGAAAACCGTAAAACCAAACTCGATTATCGGCTTTCTGCTCAATTTCAGACAGAACCATCGCACGTAGGTTCGCGTTCTGGTCCACCCAAATCGAGACTAGGTGCTGCGCGGAGAAAAAAAAAAAGATATACGCAGACTTTGAAGGAATCACTGTGATGGTCGTTCTAGCATGGTGATAAGTTCAGCGATAACAAGCCAAGCTAAAATGTTTGAGCGAGGCTTAATCCCGTATGTCGCATAATTTGTATGCAGTCGTGCGAAGGTTACGCAATCAAATCCATCTTGATTCGATGAAAGTGGTTCGGTTTTGAGAGTACTCTTCTCTGTGCAATTGTTCTGTGTTAATTTAAGCTAAGGAGGCTGATTAGCGAGATATATATCGTCTGAACATTTTTGTACGAGACGTTGTTAGTGACAATTTACACAGGTTTCACCTGATTTAATCATTTGAAATGTCTTCATTGTTCTTAAGGATAAAAATGTTTTAAAACAAATTATTCAATTTAGGAGTCGTTCTAATGGTAACACTTGTCTCCTCAAAACTGGAGTAACCAGTTTTCGAGGAGACAAATATTATCAAACCCTCGATACACTGTTTCTGAAACAGTCCAAAATGTTTCGAGACATTTCAAATGGTCGAATCTTGGTCCATCCTGTATGTCGGTTGTACAGTCCTAACATTGAACTATTTTATTGTGCGTAAGGCAGAGGCACTGAGAAATGAAGTTTTTGTACGCGACACCTCAGTGGTTAAACGGATAACCCAGCTGTTGTGAGATTTCTTGTGATCCATTTTGTAGCAAATACTAATATCTTTACTTTCGTTTCGCTTTAATGTCTGTTCTGATATGTTTGATCGTATTTGCAAACTCTAGATGCGCAGAAGTGAGCATACTAATGTCGCGGTGATTACAAAATCGAATTTCAATAAACTAAGGGCCAAAGCTATAAAGACTTGCCTCTAGTTCGTTGAAATCTAACGTTGCAGATAATATTATACGATGACGGGAGAATATTAGGAGAAAAACGCGTTTCATAAAGAGCTAGAACGTAATAATGTCAATCTAAACATGTAATTTGTAAGCTTTGTACGGTTAAAAAAAAAAAAATTTGTACTACATAGGCCGCAAGACTGCACATTCGATCACCATGGGGGATTGATGACGGTTTTTTTTAAACGAGTGATCTTACACACCAATGACAGAGCACAATAGTAGAATTAGAAATCTCTCCGGAAGATGCGCCGGTTTCGCATTGATCCCTTCAACTGCAAAATCACGTACGTGCTATTATTCATCGCTCACAGCGACGACACCGATGTGAAAAGTATCGTAATAGAGCAAGACTGCAAGTTTTTTTCAAAAATATTTTTCTTATCCTCGTGAAAAATCACAGGACATTCGAATGCACTTCGCTAAAAGATTTCCCGCTAAAAGATATTTAAAAGAGAATAACTGTGAATGTTCGAAAAAGCAGTTACAATACTTTTCGTTGTTGGCATCGCTTTCGAAGAGAAGAAATCGATAGAATCTCGCAGTCCGAAACTGTCGTTGAGTTTCCGAATGTAAAAAGAAATCGATGGGATGTAAGAGAAGCTAGAGAGCAAGCAGCTCTCCTCGTAAGATTGATCGATTTTAAAATTCCGAAAAAAATTACACACTTATTTTAGAAACGTAGAATTACTGTTCGCCGAAATCGCAACGTGAAGATATTCTAAAGCGGTTATAGAATTTTTATTTATAAAATTAATTTATAGATTATTTCACAATCACTTCTCGTTGCGTACTTAAATATAATTACGCTCTATAAATTATCTTTAGATTATTCGTACATTTTATTTTTGTATTTTACGTTGTAATTTCGATAGACAGTAATATATTACTTGCGTATTTCCCATGATATACAAGTTACAGAAATTTCTTTTTATAGTTCCGTTTCGTTTGTTCTTATTGTAGTAAAAAAGTTCGACGGAATTATTTTTAAACGCTTGATTAATTTCATGGATAACCGTACAAGCGATACACAGATAATGTGTGTAATTTTTCTCGTGTGATTAATATCGTGTTATCCGATGTTAAATATCGCTTCTCGACGAGCGTAGCGTAACAACATTCATTATACATTATTCAATACGTTGTCATTTAATCCTTGGACGCATGAGGATTATTTTTATCTCTTCGTGATATTCTCTCAGTTTCCATTGAGATCGAATCTTTTCTTTCTTCTAGATTTAATTTTTAGAGAAACCTCAAACTATGTCCTATTGGACAACACTTAATTGGAATTTGTCGAGTCGACTCGAGTTTTTCGAGAGAATTATCAGAAGGCCGCGCATATCCGAGGGTTAAATGCCGAAATAAAGAATTGACGAAGATCGTTCGAGATTAGTTATCTTTTTACCGATTTTACCGAAGGATATTGTCACGCTTCTGCGACAAGATTGTATTTGTAATTTTGTACAGCCTCCGCATCCTAATTTGTAACGCGGCGTTATAAATTCTAACGCAAATTTGTATCGTATGATTCGTATACGCGCGATACTATTTTCCAACTTTCGGAGAAAATTGCGGGAGTTAAGAGTTGAAGAAAAAAAAACAAAAGAATAAAAAAAAGATGAGAATGAACTGATGTACAGTATTTCTACGATTGGTAGTTAGAACGTTCTTAGATATCGGGAAGAGATAATTGTTCATATACTTCGAACACGCGTGTAAATTTTTGAATAGCGCAAAGATCCCTTTCGGTGCACTTTTTTCGAGCGGTGCTCTCCGGTAGTTTATTCCGGGCTTCGGTGTTAGAAAGGAATAAAAAGAAAAGAAAGAAGGAGCAAAAAACAAAGAAGGGAAAAAGAATTCGCTGAGGCGCCGGAAACCGCGCGGTCGCGCGAGTTATCTCGCGGTTCGCGCGCGTCGAGGAGATGAAGGATAAGAGTATAGGGCGGAGTGGTTTTCGCGTAGCCGCTATTTTGTCACAATAACGTTGGAAAATCCTTAGTCTCGCTGTGATCCCGTAGTCGTAACTCCGCACCTTTTGTATATCGGATAACAATAATCGAAGTCTTCACCCGGCTTCGATCGGAGGGCCTCTTTATAAAGCGTTTTGATCGTCGTCGCCCGACTTGTATCACACTTTCTTGCGTTTTTCGCCCTGTTTTATACACACAGACACACATACATAACATATATATATATACACGTACACACGGATGAGGTGCAGATCACAAAGGACGCACAAGGCCGTCGTCTGCCTAGATAGCTCACCAAGTATTTGATATACTTGAAAAATCTATTTATATATTTGTACGAGGAGAGAGAAAGAGAGAGAGAGAGAGAGAGAGAAGAGGTCGCACCGCGTGTCTCTCGCGCGTCCAATTCACGAGATTGATCTACGCTACGGCTCAGACTCTAATAATAACAGAATAATTTTTATTTGGTGAACTATCGCCGGCGGAGAAGAGCGTCGAGAGAGCGAGAGAGAGAGAAAAAAGAGAAAGGATTGCGCTATGCCTGAAGTCGGCCAGCATATCACATCTAAGGACCAGAATTGTTTCTCTCTTCTTCACTTTGCTTACAATCGGCGAATCAATTATCTTCCTACGTGTCGAAGAGAAAGACCGAAAATGACAGATACAATAATGCAAGGATGTGTACACCGTAACGCGATTCGCATACAGTTGCAGACACTTTGCGCACTTTGTTACGCAACCGGGTCACGCACATATTAATTGGAGAAAAGATAGAAAAAAAAGAACAAGAAAAACACCACGATTTAGATATGTGTATATCGGCCTTTCAGTACTACTACCTGCGTATATATATATCTGATATATTGAGTACGAAATGCGTTATATATTTTTTACAATGTGAAGAATGTAAATATATTATATAGCGAGTCGAAGTATATATATATATATACATATATATATATATATATAAATAATAAAAGGTAATTTTCTTGAAACTTCCGAAAAAGATGCGAAGTATTTCAGAGAATATCTTTTATTCGCAAAAGAAAAAGAAAATGTGCATTGCACAATGGACTAAGTGCAGTCTCGCTCTTTCGTGCATAATTGCGTAGAATGTTAATAATTGTGTAGGATCTTATTATAATTATAATTTGAAAAAATCACATGGGCAGGCGAAATTAAAATGCTGCAATACAGAATCATTTCCTTTTTACTGATTTGCTGTTGCTGTTTTTTTTCCGTCTGTTCGTAGGAAAATATTGTCCGCTAATAATTATTTTAAAATGTATCCGAATTACCTCAATCATTATTGCATAATGTGAAAAATTGCTCGCTTAATTATTATTTTAAATTATGCTCGAATTATTTACAAGTATTTTCGATCAAAGAGTATCATCAAATATTTTTTTATTAACTGGACAATGAAGTGATAGATTTAATACGCTTTTATGTTGGAATACCAGCACATGAGGATCTAGTCATGAGCGAATGAGTTATGCACTCATAAGTCGCAATTATATTTGCATTCTTCGAATATTTCTCGAACAGGAAACAATTACCGCGATTTCTTTTCTGTTTCTTTTTTTATCCTAGGCTACTGAGATATTGTTTTGAATTTAAAAATGTATAGTGAAAACATTGAAATTGACTCTTTTAGGTTCTGTCCATCTGATAATTTTTTAATATTTAGGTTTTAATTTTACAAGAGATTTAAATAGTCTTTAAAATAATGCACATTTTTTCTTTCTTCGCAATTTTTTTTGTTTTACTTTTCATCATAGCAATGGTATTTGGCACAAATATAGAATTTTTAAACCGATAGCTTGCTATCAATTAGATATCCTGCGCCGAAAAATCAGCGTATACATCTTTTTTCGGACTCAAAAGAGAGAGCGTATATTTATAATCTTGCAGTTTCGACCGATTTCCCTTTAAATCAGTTTTTCCGAATCGTGTTGTAAATCATTTACAGAAAATCAATTTAAAGTTATTACTTTTAAGTTTACAACATAATAATATTCCTGTTGTAATGATCGAATTTATTAGAGAATTATTCGTAATTTAGTTTATACGATGGTAAAGTCTCACATTTGTGATTAGGGAAAAAGATTCAATTAAGCTAACGCTCGCTATACGTTTTAATTTTAAATAAAATTTTTTTATATTTTATTTCGTATCTTGCACGTGTATTTTATTAATCGATCGTCAGTCCAACGCTTATTACATGTATATATTCGTTATGTTCACGAGGTAGAATCAAGTTCGATTTACAATAAAAAATCAAGATGATTTTCTCGTTATGACGGAAAAATCGTCGAATGTGAATCAGTCTTTTTGCACAATTCAGAAAAATATTTTATTGTCTCCAACTCCTTACATATCTATCTCGAAAAATGCTAAATTATTTCTAAAATATCACATAACGTTGACACACAAAAATAAACACTTGAGAGAAATAAAAGTCGGTATAAATACAAATGGAAGCGATGAAAAGTATTATAACTGTAATATTTAAATTGCAATTTTTCAGGAGAATTATTTGTACAATGATTATTCTTTCTGGAAAAAAAAAAATTTTTTTTTTCAGAAGCATTTTAACATAGAAACAGTTAATTAAAAAAATACAAAGCACTGAAAAAAACATAAAATTATATATATTGATGTTACAATGTTTGTCGTTTAAATAACATTGGAAAATATTGTAAATAAAGATTCACACAGTTTTACTGTAAAATATACAAATGCAGTTACAATACTATTCATTGGACAGAAAACTTCTCTAAAAAATTTTTCCCGTTTCTTGTGTGTGGCATCAGATTCATATATTACATCGATATTTAACGATAAGTATATCATAAGAAAACTAATATTCAGTTAGAAAAATAATTAAGGAGAAGTTGATTGAATGTCTTGTAAATTTCAGAGAAGCATGAAAAAAAAGGTAAATATTTTAGTAAAATATACATTCATATTTTTCTTTTTTTTCCAATAACACGTACAAACTTCAAAAATTTCATTTTAACGAAAATAAATTTTCCAAGTTTAGTAGTGGCCTCATCACTAGAAAAATTTTATAGAATTTTTAAAACATTCGATCAACAATATATAATTTTGCAAATTAAACACAGAGTTTAATATAAAAAGTAATCCATGAAAAACGACTACAGATATTATACGGTAATTAAAATATAAAATATTTGTGCATATTCAATCTTTTTTTTTCGATTTCACGTAAGATTTATTCAATATATCAATACACTAAGGCAAACGTTTATTCTGATTGAAACACAAGAAACGGGATGTGCAAATACTTTTCTCATGCTTAATTCGAAGCGACTCTTCTAAGAATGAGGTTCCGGATCTGCTCGACGTTCCGTAGCTGCGAAGTATTTTCTTTTGTATAAAGTATTATCAATGCATCTGCACACGAATTGGTACGCCTTGAGCATGTCAACTGCCTCAGTTGAAGCGGAATCCGACGAATTTCTGTTTTCTGATTTATCTAAAGTCCCACTAAAACATATATATATATATATATATATATATTCTATATTTTATAATATATATCCTATATGTTTTGTAATATTCTAATACACTACACTACACTACACAATGCTATAATACATTTATATTTTTATAACATGTTCTCTCTTTCTATATAGAAAATATTTTAAAATGTAAATAACATTTTATAATATACAAAAACACTTTTAATTTATGAAATTTATAAGATTTAATGAAACACAATATAAAATATATAGTTTAAAATAATAAAATTAAATATAATAATCTATTACATTTTTAATAAAATTCTGTCATTTTTTAAATATAATATCCAATCTTTTCAATACAATTTTATTACAATTATAAAAATATTAGAGTTGTAACAAAGTTAAAATGTGAAGAATAATGGAAATGCAGTTGATATTTGATTAAAAAGATAATTGCCGATCAAATGTCCTGTGAAAATTTCAGAAAGTTACTTAGAAATGAATTATATTTTAGAATATTATATACATGTATTCTTTTGGAAAATAATATTCAAGTTTTAAAAATTTGTTTTTATGTTATCCCATTTTAGAACTGAATAATGGAACATTCGTACAAAAAAAATGTTTAAAAACAAAATCTAAAAGAAAAAATAAACCTATTCACTTACCCCTCGATTTCTTCAGATTGTGCAAAATACACCTCAATCAATTCGCTGATATTGTTGAAGTATTTTTCAACCTTAAAATTTGACTCGTCGGACATGTTACTAATGCACTCGAGCAAATTATCGTATATCTTGCCGTACTGCGTCTTACTGACTATACTTTTCAGAGAGAACAGAATCTTCGATAGAACATTACAGATTTGTTCCCTTTGCTTTCTTCGGTACTTGAGGCGCGAGAATAAATCGCAATACTGCACGAGGGCACGCAACAGCGAGACGAATGTGTCTCTGGGAAAGGTGTCTGTGAACACTAAGGCAAGCTGCATCGCCTCGGTGGTAATGTGCAATACATTCTCATACGCCATTAATTCGTTGGCCCAACCAAAGTAAGCGCAAGATGCTATCGTCATCTCGATAGCGAACGTCATGTATTCTTTCTCGGTGGCATGCAGCATCATATGACGCAATAACGGCCTCTGGTCGAATTGGAAGGAGTGCACGTAATCGCGCATATTGGGTTCGCAGAATTGCGGATTCGCGCGCAAAAATTGATACGTGCCGTAGCATCGTCTCTCGTAGTTCTGGATCACATCCCGCACGGTGCCGCGCAGCACTGTCTGTAACTTAGGCACCAGCAATACTTGATCGATTGGCTCCACGAAGTTATTAACAAAGATTATCTCGTTCTGATTGTCTAGAGGCAGATTCAGCGTGATGAACAGAAAGTTTAATATCATCGTTCCATAGTCCAACAGATTGTTCACTGTGTTCCTTAAGTATCTTGGACTGCATTTTCTTATCATCGACATCTTCTTGGTTAATTGTACGATCAGCAGTACATAATTTGTGTTATGTGTGCAGATTTTCTTTCTCAGGATAGAGTACATGTGTATCAGTACAGATAGCAAGTTCGTATAATTGAAAATGGCACTGGTCAGGCAGGGAATATAGACATTATTTAGCAGATCGTCCGCAGTGATTGCCTGTGGAAAAGGAATGCAAAAATGAAACATAAAAATGCACTTCCGACAAATTGAAAAAATTAAAATCAAGGAAAAATAAAGATAAAAATGACTAATATTATGGATATGTTTCAATCACTACTAAATTTACTACAGTAAAAATTTACTTCTATAATGGTTATATCATTTACAATATTATATAAGTATATTACCTTGTTCTTAAGCATATCATTCATAAAAGCTTCAAATTGCTTGTAACACCACGTAGAGTGATCATGTTGCCAGGCATCGTTCAGAAGGTACGTCAACAAGTTATTTTGATTGTCCAATTTCAAAGTAAGAAATGCATGTAGATAAGCTAACTGAGGCCTTTTGAACATAACATTTCGGTACTTTGTCTCGGTACTGCCCATTGTGACTCTCACCAGAGTGGTTAACACTTCCTTCGGATTCAACATAACAAAAATCAAAATGATACGCAATTTATCCTGATCGTGCATGTTTACGTTACTTTCTATAAACCTCTTGAAGTTTTCGCTATCGAACAGATACTCTAAACGATTATCGTGAAAATGTCGCAATGTGTATTGCAGTACGAGATGGTACATAGTTGGCAGGCGTTTCTGTAACAACACCTTCAATACCAATATGTAGGCTTTATGCTTCTCTTCATAAGTGTGCGTATGCGTACCAAACACATAACGAAGATATTCAAATAGAATACCAATATCCTTCTCATTTAACGCTTTTGTTTTTCTGCTGACAAAATTCAATACAGATAGGTCCCATTCCTTATAACGCCTTATTAATTTCTTCATACCAATTTCTTCATCTAATTTACCGTTCGTAATGCAATCGCAGAGTTCTTGAAGAGTCAAAGCAGACTCTTCGGATTGGCTTGAACCTATAAGCTGCCGTAAGCAGTGGAGCAGATGCTCGTTCGTTAACAAAAATTCATCGCGCTTCATAAACTCCATAAAACAGCGGCATTCGATGATAACAGCGCGCTGTAGGGATATCATAGTGTTTTCCTCATCATCGACTTCCGCCCACTCCATGAACTCGAAACAATCAACTTGTTTGATTTGATCTTCAAGCAGGGTAACTAATTCCTGATTCAGTGTTTCTACGATGGACTCTACCTTATCGAGTGGAAGCTGACACAAGAAATCCGTACAGCCGTCGGGATTGCCGTACGTAATCTTGAACGGTTGCACGAACGGTTGACTGTTCTCCTGGAAATCCTTAGTCTTGTAACGCATGCACATTTTGATACAGCGAATCACGTATTTTAGAAGAATTCCATGTTGCACATATTTTTCCTGGTTAGACGACTTGGGGGGAATAAATTTGGAGCTGGCAACGTCTAGCAATGCCTGAAAATGCGTTACTAATTGACAGGCGAGTTCCTCCACATCTCGTTTTGACAGTGTGCCTACGTGCAGCGACATACATTTGTAGTACAACTTAGAGATCAGGAGGAAAACAAAGCGTCTCTCCCGTAGAATTTCCAGCTCGTTTATGCATCTGATCGTTATCTCCAAAATATCTACGCATACATCCAACGGTAAGTGCATAAGCGATTCAATCAGCAAGTCCTCGCACTTTAGATGCCATATTACCTATAGTATACATATAAATTATAATTATATGATTAGAATGATGTAAATGAAATTTATACAAATATATGATCTGATAATTAATATGATAATGATTATAAATAATAACAAAAAAAAAATATATATATATATATAATAGCATAATATATACAATTTAACTAAATAAAATTGAAAAATTGTACAGAAATAACATATTTTTCTTCTGTCACTAGAAAAATTATCTAAACAACTTTTTTTATTACTATATACATATTACTTAATAGAATTAAATATAGGGTATTTATTTAAAAAGTTTCCACTTCAATATACTGTCAATAACTCTATACACAAGAAATATATGTGTACAAATTAAGAAAAAGGAAGAAGCCAAAATATGGTATTCAACAGTCACTATATATCTGCAGTAAAATCAGCAAACTAATATCAATACAAGAATTACCTGTATGAAGAGATACGGCGATAGAGAAGGCCAGAAATTGACTATATGGCCAAGTAGCATGTCCTCCGCGAGAAGGTACTGTGTAGAAAAATTAGTGTTCAATACAAAATGATTGTAACTAATAATAATGGACTGTGGGACATCACACGGTTTAAAACTGTCGTCTTCAACGAATATTTTAACATTGTACATATTGCATTTTTTAGCAATATCTGCAACATCTTCTAACAGGTTGTCGATGAAACATGAGGTCTCCTCTGTGGCTCGAGACGAAATAAATTTCAGTTGGCCATATTCTTTCTCTTTCTTCAATAGGAGCTTCTGTATTTTATCGTAAAAATTCAATGCATCCATCTTGAACAAAAACCTGATAAAATAATGGACAATAAACAAGATTACACCAGATAATTTTAAATATAACAAATATATAAATATTATCTTATTTGTGCGTGTGTTTAATAATAACATAAATATAATCTTAAAAATAGGGTGTCCGTAAATCGTGGGGACTTTTTTCGTATTTAGATAGAACGAGCCAAACTGAGTCGAAAAGTCTTGTACCATTTTGCAATTTTCTCAATAGTTTATGAGTTATTAATAATTAAAAATCGCCGTATTGGCCCGGCCCATCGCCAAATCCAAGCGCGCCGTGAGATACGACCGCCCCGCGGTCCGCGCGCGGGCAGTTGTTTACAACAAGCGGCGGCGATCACGCACGAGCGGCGCGTAACGCCGGGCCCCCGTTCTAAGCGATGATAGTAAAATTTTCTAACGACATAGAAAATTTTTTTGTGCGCACGTATGTACATACGTGTGTACATGCATACACAAGAAAATATCAATTCTACTGCTTAAAAAGCGATTACTCAATTTACTTTTTTCTTTTAATAAGTAACGGTTGTCTTTAAGAAAGAATATTTTCTTGATAATAGTTATAAAATGTACAAATTTTAGAAAGAGTCTTTATCATGTACTCGAAAGAAGAATTTATACTCCTTCAAGAAGCATAATAAAATTCTATCAAAGAAAGTTAAAAAAAATAAATAACGTAATATGAGGAACCTCGAGATTAAAATAGGAGAAGTCAAAACTATGAGGGTCAGACGCAGATCACAGTGCGTAATATCAGAAATAACTGATTTATTCGTCATTTTGATACATTACATCGATCCGTACGTTTCGGTTCAGTTTTGAGCCATCTTCAGCGGTAGTTACAGAAATTGAGTTACACGTTCTCCGTACCATATGGCGAATTTACTGATTCAAAGTATTAGAAACATAGGCCAATAGATCCATATCCGCAAATAAAAAAATCAAAAAATATCATTTTAGTGCTAAGAAAATCAATTACTCCCTTCCCTATTTCTCTTCCTTCAACGGTTATCTTTACAAAGAATATTTTTTTGATAACACAAGTCAACGTGAACTTTGTCTTTAAAATTAAGGTATGCAATTACGATAGGTTTATTGACAGTCATCCGAAAAAATTTATATTTCATAAAAAAGTTTTTGTAGCCAGAAGAACTTTTATACGATATTTCAAAAAAATCTATGATTTTGAATTTTATCTGTTAAAAAACCAAAACAAGATATATTTGTATATTATTTTTATTAACTTCAACTATTATATTAGCTTACAAAATAATGGAAAAAAGTTTAAAAGTGACTATAACGTTTAAAAGTTTTAATTGACTATAACGGGCAATGATTATAATCGTGGCAACAATTATAATCGTCGTGACATATTGTCACCCCGTTTCAACCAAGGATTCTTGGTCATTCGAACGCTGATGTAATTTTAGATGCTTATAATATAAGCATCTTAATGAATTAATTAAATTTATTGCAAAAAACATTAGCCAGGGTTCAAACCTGGAACCACTCTCATTCCATGCGGGTGTCGTACCAATTCGACACCACTGAGGAGGCATGTGGTAATAGTTATCGCAATAACATGTATTAAGACGACAAACAATAATAAGATGGAACACCGATTTTCTAGCATCTAAAATTACATCAGCGTTTGAATGACTAAGAATTCTTGGTTTAAACGAGGTGACGATATGTCACGACGATTATAATTGTTGCCACGATTATAATCATTGTCAATTATAGTCAATTAAAAATTCTTAATTCTAATTGTTTAACTTTTCAAATAAGAATATAACACTAAAACACAAAAATTCGATTTGCTTATTATTTTGACTTTTCTTTGATAAAATTTTATAATGTTCTTTGAAGGAGTATAAATTATTTTTGCCAGTACATGATAAAGACTTTTTCTGAAATTTGTGATAAATACACTTTAAGATTATTATCAAGAAAATATAATCTTTCTTTTAAAGAACCTCGTTACTTACCAAAAGAAAAAAAGCAATTTGAGAATTACAATTGTGTACATAATAGAAATTCAAGTATTAAAATTGCGTACATAAGTAAAATTCGGGAATTACAATTATGTACATAATTTTAATTTGCGAAAATGTTTTATGTTATAACGTGAAAAAAATTCAGAATTAATATTTTGTCTAGACATAATTTTAATTCTGCATTTTCAATTACAGCTTAACAATAATTCGATGAATTATAAGTAAGTCTAGACACATAATAATAATTTCTTTTCTTTCAGTATCAATTTAATTTGATACAATTTTTATAATAGTATTAAATAGTAAAATGACAAGCGTATACGCACACGCAAAAGAAAAATATCATTCGCTAGTGCTAAGAAAACCAATTACTCAGTTTTCTCTGTTTTTAAGTAACGATGATCCTTACAAAAAATGTTTTCTTGATAATATTACTTAAAATAAATAATATTCTACATTCTAATTATTCGATTCTTCAGTTAAGAATATAAAATTAAAACAAACATTTGATTTGCTAATTATTTTGATAGGACAAGTCAAGGCTATGACGCAGATCACAGTGCGTAATATCAGAAATAACTGATTTATTCGTC